TTCCAGTGCATTAGGTAGCCCATTAAAATAATCGCACGTCAACGTGCATTTACGCAATTAAACGAACAGCTGTGAATGGGCCCTAAAAGGAGTTAAGAGTTTTTACTCAAAAGATTGTAGCTGCGTTTCACTTTAAATGCCCATTTATGTGCAAATGAAAAAACAGGAATTTGCATGATTTCCACATGATTGGGTCATTGAAGTGAATCTTCGCTTTAGTTCAGCACTGATTGAGCAGCAGGAAGGAGTGGGGAAAGAGCACTGGTGAGGCGAGTACAAGGGGGCTGAGCGTCTCTCTTTGCTGAGACACTGTAAGGCACATGTGTCAAACTCAAGGCCCAAGGGCCGAATCCGGCCCACCAGGCCATTTCCTAGACTTCTACTTTCAGATCTAGGTAATAAGTTACTACTAAAACCCGTGATAAATCGAATGCAGAGGCCGATAAAGATTAGATACATTTATATGGTCTTACAGATACCATAATGTTGATGCGGCCCTCGATTAAATTGAGTTTGACACCCCTGGGTGACCGTGTCTCTTTAAGGAGACCCTCTCTCAAGGGCAATTATTTAAACCAGAATCTACCTATAAGATATTATGTGCACTTGATGTATTTAGATATTTTCCTGTAAAAGCTCCCCTTGTGTGGACATCCAAAGGCCCAGAGACCTCTCCTGGGTGCCGCCATCTTGGATGTGATGTCAGCAGCCCCAGCAGACTTGGAGCTGTCACTCTAGTGACACTCTATAGCAGGAGTAGGCAAACTCCAGCCCCCCAGCTGTTGTGAAACTAAAAACTCCACCATGCATCTGCCTCTGGGAGTCATGCCTGTGGCTGTCATTCTTGCAAAGCCTAACAGGAGCTGCAGTTGCACCACAGCTGAGGGACCAGAGTTTTGCTACCCTTGCCACAGCTGGATGGCTGGCGTTCACCTACCCCTACCACAGCCGGAAGGCTGGAGTATGCCTACCTCTACCACAGCTGGATGGTGGGCATTTGCCTACCCCTACCACAGCTGGATGGTCGGCATTTGCCTACCACAGCTGGATGGCTGGAGTTCACCTACCCCTACCACAGCTGGATGGTCGGCATTTGCCTACCCCTACCACAGCTGGATGGTCGGCATTTGCCTACCACAGCTGGATGGCTGGCGTTTACCTACCCCTACCACAGCTGGATGGCTGGCGTTCACCTACCACAGCTGGATGGCTGGAGTCCGCCTTCCCCTACCACAGCTGGATGGTCGGCATTTGCCTACCCCTACCACAGCTGGATGGTCGGCATTTGCCTACCACAGCTGGATGGCTGGCGTTCACCTACCCCTACCACAGCTGGATGGCTGGCGTTCACCTACCCCTACTACAGCTGGATGGTCGGCATTTGCCTACCACAGCTGGATGGTCGGCATTTGCCTACCAAAGCTGGATGGTCGGCATTTGCCTACCCCTACCACAGCTGGATGGTCGGCATTTGCCTACCACAGCTGGATGGCTGGCATTCACCTACCACAGCTGGATGGCTGGCATTCACCTACCTCTACCACAGCCGGAAGGCTGGAGTATGCCTACCCCTACCACAGCTGGATGGCTGGCATTTGCCTACCACAGCTGGATGGTCAGGGTTTGCCTACCACAGCTGGATGGCCGGGGTTTGTGTACCCCTAACACAGCTGGAGGACCGGCGTTTACCTACCCTACCACAGCTGGGGTTTGGCTATCCCTACCACAGTTGGAAGACCGGCGTTTGTCTACCACAGCTGGATGGCCAAAGTCTGTCTACCCCTACTACATCTGGATGGCCGGAGTTTGCCTACCCGTACCACAGCTTGATGGCCGGGCGTTTACCTACCCCTACCACAGCTGGAGTATGCCTACCCCTACCACAGTTGGATGGCCGGTGTTTGCCTACCACAGCTGGATGGTCAAGGTTTGCCTACCCCCTACCACAGCTGGAAGGCTGGAGTTTGCCTACCCCAACCACAGCTGGATGGCCGGCGTTTGCTCCTCCTGGTCCATAGTATGTTCCTTCTCCAGAAGCTACAAAAAATGTTTTCTAGGTAGGTCATGTGGTGAGAGGAGGGGTGGAGGAGCTAAGTCAGCACACAGTAATTAGACACTCCCAGAAGAGAAGAGGGCAATGATGCACAAGGAGGGACTGCGCTTTGGAATCGACTTCCTGGAGTAGTCAAATCTTTCCAGCACATCGCAAGTGAATCTTAAAAAAAAGGAAAAAGGGAAAATCTCTGCAACTAAGCAGTGAAACACTTTATTTGTTTGTGCTTTTACCTGCAAGTTGGTGACAGAGTCTCTGTAAGTCGCTCCATTTTGCAGAGATCTGTTTTCACTAAAAGTCTATATCTGTGTAAAATAAATGGAAGCCCAAAAACGAAATTCAATGTGGCTGTAACAAGCAGAACATTTTCTAGTGTTGTCAACAGCAATACACATTTAGCTCCATTACAGTTGCCTGCTGGCTCCTCGGCGAGCTCCCGAGTTCTATATTCATCTGTCTAGCCCGGATAGGAGATGCGCAGAAGGTCCCCTCACATAACAAAAGCAAATCGCCAGGAGAATTATCTAAAAATCGGGGTCAGCTCATGAAGACACAAGCATCATTCTGACTGCATGAAATACACACAGGACAAGTCCACTGCACCTAGGCCGCTCGGTGTTGTTAGGATATAGATTAGCATAGTCAAAAACCATACCTCAGGAAATATTGGTCAGTTATACCCTTAGCATGATGGTAGCGTGATTTGTAGAAGGGAATACAGATACAACACATGAGCAATAGAATACAGAGCAAAATACTATAAATACTCTAGCAGACTTTAAAAAAAATCCAGCGCATGGGATCAATAAAATGACAGTTAATGTGCAATAATGGCATTTAAAAGACTAATAAATCTAAGAAACGTATATATATATATATATAAGGGTGCACAACATATATGTATGCATGTGTATAAAGAATATATAGATCTCTATATACTGTATGTATAAAAGATATATATATTGTATCCGATTGAAGGCAGCTGCATAATTCAGTATCTATCCTGCAGCCTGAAAGCATAGAACAATGTCTGCCAGTCTTCCTGATTGGCTGGGGAGCCAGCTCCATGAGCATAGAACCGACCGTCCCGACCAATTAGGAAGCTGGGCACCGTGTAATGAGTCGCTGCCCTGCTTCCTAATACCGGAAGCTCAGATATCGGGCTAGTACGAGTACTCACCCAAATACTCGGCATCGATACTAGTATTGGTGCATCCCTAGTTAAGATACTTGAATGCATTTTTAAGATTTAACTCTTGAAGGAGAACTATGAGGGGGGTGATTTTCACTCAGCCTCATAGATCTAGCCGGCCTGTGACAATGAAACTGTCGCACGTCGGCTCAATAGATCGGGAAGTGAGCGAACACATACCGGCGTTCGCTCACTTCTCGATGTATCCCTGCAGAGAGCCGTGACTGTCACTCACGGCTCCCTGCAGGGATTCCCCACCCTCCCCTGTCCGATCCTCCAGCGCTGACTGGCGGAACGGACGGGGGAAGGGGCGGGTACAGCTGGCTCTGCCTCTAGATACGCAGAGCCAGCTGTCACTCACGCAGCTGGGCGGATCTCGACAGTAAAGTCGGGATCCGTCCCGGCTGCGGCGGTCTCAGTATACCGCGAGCTATAGCTCCCTATATACTGAGCTTTGGGTGACGGGAGGACGCTAGTTTTTGTCCTCCCGTTACCCTTAGGAGAACTATGGGAAAAGCCCTAACCCCATAATTCTCCTTTAAGTTTAGTGTCACTTCAATACTAGAGTTTAAGAATCTGTAAGCCAGGGTACTTCTTCTGCATCCATTACCAGATGATCAAAACCTTGTTCACCAGAATGGCACTGTATGGTTTTTTTCTATTGCCTTCCATTGACTACATGCTTTGGCCACCCTCGTACACCGCCTTGCACCTTCACCATTGACTAACTTGACTTGTGTAGCCCAAGCTGAAATCTCCACACCCCCCGTGGTGTGCAAAAGTCACAGCAGAAGAGTGTTAGGAAAGAACCTGAAGACAAAGTTGAATTGTAACTATAGCTATAGAATGGACATCCATTACAAAACTGCCAACGGAAAGCGGCCTGTGCGTGTTTTTTTTATCACCACCAGCATGCTCTGCGTAGTATCTGCATTCCCCCTGGGTAGTGTATACAATGTCTACAATGTCACCAATAGTTCTATTTCAAGCACGGAAGAATGTAAACAATTAACTTCTTTAATTAGCTTTGATTCTTCCCAGATGGTCCCAATGACTTTTTTTTTTTCCTTCTTTCTTTCTTTTTTTTTAACTGACCAACATTTGACACTGTATAGCCGATGTTTGTGGGAAGGACAGAAAATAGAGGGTGGGCTAGAGATGGGAGGAGCGACAGGGAGTCCGTCTTGCCCAGGTGGGCTGGCTGCCTCAGTTGACATGACAGAGTGTGGCCTGTTGGTCAAAGGTCTGACATAGGGTCCAGTGTTGCTTGGCAAGTTTCTAGGGACAGGCTTGGGAAGCTGAAGCGATTACAGACCATAAAATGAAGAAGGGGGAGGGGGGGAGAACAAGAGAAATAAAAAAAGAAAATCATGACCACATTAGTATTTATGAATTACCCAACCTCATAGCTGCTGCACGTACTGTTAAAGGTCTCATTTATTTTTTTTTTTTTTGAGAAAACCCACAAACAAGGCTTATTTTGTGTAACAGGAAATGCACTTGCTGTAACTCCGAGCTTCATTTTATTTGTTGTTACGGTAATAAAATGACAAGAGACAGCAGTGAGGTTGTGTAACAGAATCTGTTCAATACCAAAAAAAACGACAGACTTCAACGTAACATATGTAACATTTACTATCGTCTAACTATTTTAGTATCTGTGAGCAGATGAGAATATACAGACACTGGTCATAAAATAAACCGAACATCTCGAAAGTGATTTATTTCTCAACAAAAAGGAAACCAGAAAAATACCTCCACCTGATCCGTTTTCCTCTTCTCTGAATAGCGGAGACGTCAATATCACTTTTAAGGTTAATTTAGGCTCTTTTGAGTTTTGTATGATTAATAATGCATCTTCTGTGCATTGTTCCACGTGATAGGTCTCTTCTGTGAGTTTCTAAAGGGTTTAAGAAGTCAGTACAATGTTAGAAAGAATGTTACTCTGGCATTAGGGTTTAGCTTCTCAAAATTAGAAACAATGATTTAGAAATAACGGAGCTCAGTTCTTTAAAGGAGCACTGTGGGGTCAGGGCTTTTCCTCCATAGTTCTCCTCAGGGTAACGGGAGGACACAAACTAGCGGCCTCCCGTCACCCAAAGCTCAGTATATAGGGAGCTACAGCTCGCGGTATACTGAGACGCCGGAGCGGATCCCAACATCGATGTCGAGATCCGCCGAGCTGCGTGAGTGACAGCTGGCACTGCTTATCTAGAGGCAGAGCCAGCTGTACCCGCCCCCCTCCCCCGTCCGTTCCGCCAGTCAGCGCTGGCGGATCGGAGCTGGGAGGGGGGAATCCAGCCCCTCCCCTGTCGCTGCAGAGAGCCGTGACAGGATCGAGAGGTGAGCGAACCCGGTATGTGTTCGCTCACCTCCCGATCTACTGAGCCGACCTGTGACAGTCTCATTGTCACAGGTCGGCTAGAACTATGAGGCGAGCGAAAAGTACCCCCCCCTCCCCCTCATAGTTCTCCTTTAAGAACCCACGGGTGTAAGCAATCTGCTGCACGAGTTTACCCACCTAAAAAAAACATTTGTTCCCAAAAAATATCCATTTTGGGACATTGTGACACGTTTGAAATGATATTACACAGTAGCATTCCTTAGACACATACGTAAGAAGGAAAGAGTTGAGGACAAAGCGGTACCTTACCTGAATTTGCAGAGGAAGGTTTTCTCTGACCGTGGCTAACAAGCTCTCTGTTGGTTTTTCCTTACACAAGAGAACCAGTTCTAGATCCATATCATCTTTAATGAGTAAGCCTTTGGTAACCAGGCCAATTCTCATGACTCCGCAAAGCACCCGGCCACTGTCATCCCTAAAAAGACAAGAGACGTGTTTTTAAAATGACTGCAAAGCCATCTCCAGCAATTCCAATAATTTCTTCTCTCTCTCTCGACATCGGCAACCACGCGTTCACAGATAAAACTATAGAACGACGAAATGACTCCGTTACTGCAAAATGACTTTGTATGTTCAGCATCCAAACAGTTCCATTCTATTCCACCCTTCAAAAGTAATCCCGTCACAAACTTGTCCAAATCTGACCGAGCATATGGTGACACAATGCATAATCAGAGCTCAGCTTATGTAACCATCAGTAGGTCCAGAGATGTATTCAAATTTTGACATTTCTTGTAAAATTTGAGATTGGTCTCAGTACTTCTCCCTCCTGACCCTTCCTAATGGTCGATGAGGCTGCCCATCACATTCAAAGGACAAATAGGGAGGCTCAGGAGGTGAAGAGCCAAACCTCCCGTCCCTGAACGCAGGGAGCCGACCGGCTTGCGTTCCAGAGGGCGTACACTCTGGAACGCAGACTTTGTAGTGTGAACCGGCCCTCTCTCTCTCCCCTGTTTATATCTGCTGTCTCTTCTCTCCCTTTCTCTCGTCTGTCTTTTTTTACCTCCACTGCAGCAGCTTCCCGGATCTCCTCTCGTGCACCGGTGTCTTGTCCTCCCGCGGTGCTCGTGTGGCCGAAATTGCACACGGGGAGAGGTGTCCTGCCCCTTCCCGTCTGCAGCGTCTGACACATTCAGCCGCACAAGTACCGCGGGAGGATAGGAGAGCGGTCAGTGAGCCGATAGCGATCCACCAGTGCTCGCTTTGTGATCGACTGGTAGATCGCGATCGACCTAATGGGCACCACTGTGCTAAGGATACTTAGTTTCAAAAAAGTGGCAGTTGTTTTCAGCTGAGCCACGACATTTGAAAAGGACAGTCACGTGGCTAAAGCAAAGATCCTTTTCCTTGTGGTAAGGTGAGGTCTATAACTTGAGCCTAAATTGTCATATATAACTACAGTGAAAGGGTGAAAGAGTGAAAAGAGAAAGTGAAACAGTGAAAGAGATCTTATAAAGCAGCACACTCCTCTCCTTGCATTATAAAACAAAAATATCAAATGTTTCCATCACAAAAAATGTTACCAGGACAACGAGGCATATAAAACAAAAAGGTATTAAGAAGACACAAGAAACGTATACAAAATAAATACATTTTCAAGACATTGCCAATGAGGCAGCATGAGAGATAGAGATAGTGTGATATATATAGTGTGTGCATATATATATGTGTGTGTATATATATATAAAATGTGTGTGTGTGTACATATATATGTGTGTGTGTGTATATATATATACACACACATACATACACCACATATATATATACACACACACATATATATATATATATATGTGTGTACACACACACAAACGTAGATAGATATAGTCCATTATTTGAACAGTTCTTTGGTTCTCAACTGCAAATGCAACTGATCACTTAAATGATCAATAAAATTTAGCTTTGCTAAGCTTGACATGAGTAAATGATGTGGAGGCGTGGTCGAGTAGATAAGCCCCACCCCTTTTCCCAGCAGTCAGGGGGCCAAATTGGAGGGAGTAATTATATTTTCAAAAATGTGGATGGGATAGGGAGTGGAAATAGCCTTTAAGTCCTTGCAGGGCACCCTACCAGTCTTTTGGTGAAAAAAAGAATATAATTAATAAAAAATAATAAGCATATATATATATATATATATATGTAGCTGGGGCTGGATTACAGTTTATGCATCTGGGTGGGCAAGGTTGACAACATATCACATGTGTATATCATGGCCCCGGGAGAGTCAATGTGGACAGCATGCTAAATATTCTCCGGCTTGACAATACAAACGTAGCTTGCCTTTAGGCTAAACACAAATAGATGACCTTCAGGTTCGGATCAGAATGCTATTGAAAAAAAAAAGCAATAAAAAACAGAAATATGTGGAAAATCCAACCAATTTAAATTTTCATCCCTCACTTTTTATTATTATTATTTAATTTGATATTAATGACAGGGGCGTTAAATTGAGGGAGCAGGTTCCTCATAGACAAAATAAGAAGTGGTAGAGGCGAACTTGTAAACAATAAAAAGTCATCTGTGGCGCTATTATTAATTTCATGTGGAGAAATTACAGTGGGTTCCAAAATCCCACTGGGAAGATCATTCCACCTGAGCTGATGTATAATAGGTTCCTCGCAGAGGTGGAGAGTGCTTAGCCTGCAGGAAACAGTACGTTAGCTTGTCTCTAAGTACACTAACAACAGCAAAATAGGCCTCGCATCTGCTGTGTCAGCATCATCCCTTTCATTTAGACAACGCTGATGTGGGACTTGCAACCAGCCATAAGAAAATGTATTTAGTAATGCAAAATAAACACACAAAAAAAAAAGAAAAGTAATAACCCGAGTGGAAAAAACAACTGTGCGAGAATTAAAATTCATAATTTAATCCTGTTCCAGTTATAAAGAAACTCAACGCTCAGCAACCAGGAACGCAGCAAGAAAACACGTGACCTGCGTTTCCTACGAGATTCAAATGACTGAGATCAATAAAAGTGCCGGACGTCTTTCTGGATCAGGTTTGGCAATTAAAGGGTTATTAAACCCTTGCATGTTTTTGCATATATCTATCTCTCTCTCTCTATATATATATATATATATATTGCTTCTGACCTGAAGAAGAGAGGTTCACTCTCAAAAGCTTGTCTTGTATATATTTTGTTAGTCCAAAAAGAAATGTATCATCGCACACTGCAATACTATGTTTTTGTCTTTTTTGACATCTTGTCTACTGGACTAATACTGCTTACCCATTTATATTGCACTATATATATATACACATATACATACATACACATATATATATATATATTCATACACACAGTATATATTTATTAGAATCTTTCAAAGTTAAAAGGAGAACTATGAGGGGGGGGGTGCTTTTCACTCGCCTCATAGTTCTAGCCGACCTGTGATAATGAGACTGTCACAGGTCGGCTCAGTAGATCGGGAGGTGAGCGAACACATACCGGCGTTCGCTCACCTCTCTATCCTGTCGCGGCTCTCTGCCGTGACAGGGGAGGGGCTGGATTCCCCCCGCTCCGATCCGCCAGCGCTGACTGGCGGAACGGACGGGGAGGGTACAGCTAGCTCTGCCTCTAGATAGGCGGAGCCAGCTGTCACTCACGCAGCTGGGCGGATCCGGGCCCAATTGTCGGGATCCGCTTCAGCTGCGGCGTCTCAGTATACCGTGAGCTATAGCTCCCTATATACTGAGCTTAGGGTGACGGGAGGACGCTAGTTTGTGTCCTCCCGTTACCCTAAGGAGAACTATGGGGAAAGCCTTAACCCCATGGTTCTCCTTTAAATAGCATATCAACCCGGATGACATATTTAATAAAATGATTTGAATTTATACAATTATAACTCACAGATTGAACATGAACTGTATTTCATCTTCAGTATTCCATTATTTTCAAAAGTTTTTGCATTACCGAAATTAAAAACATTGCACCATACGTAGGACACCGTTTCACAGTAGTTTTGCTCTGGTGGAAGGAAATGGGATCAATAAAATACATGCTGCTGACCCCCTAATTCGAGGGTTAAACT